GGCAGGAAGTCAGATAAGGAGAACTACTCTCCTTAAGCTCCATAAAAATAATTACACAGAATCAACATCTTAGGTAGCCTAGTCTCTAGTGCCAGAGGTTTGTGTCAGGAAAATAGTTGGTAATTCTGGGAAAGGTGAGAGAATGGTATGATCTGCCATGACAGGTTTTTAATTTTTCCTTCCTTACAAAGTATCATGGATCTGCAGTAGTAAAACATGACTGGAGCTTTGAAACTTTGTTTACAAAAAACAAAGAATGCTGGAGGAAATAGAAGAAAAGGGAACAAAAGATGTGTGTGTTTTACAAGACCTGGAAGTAAACTAAAGTCATTACTTTGTGAAAGTAGTAGGGTTTTCTGTAAATAACTACCTAGCATGTAAATAACTAATATGTGGGAATTGGGACAAAAGAGCTGGTTGCAGGGGACCATAGAGCACATAGCCACCACTTGTCATGTATGTTGGATAACCTGTCACTTCAGCTGAGTTCTCTTGGAAAGAACGTACCGGGGAGCAGCACAGGGAGGATTTGATCTCAGGATATTTATAAATTATGGCTGGAGGTTCAAAAAATAGGGTGAAAAGGCATAGTCCAAGGCATCAGTGTAATTTTTAGAAGAAAAATAATAATGATAATAATAATGAAAATACAAGCAGCAGGTTGTTCCTGAGAAAAAAAAAGCCTTAAAATCATTGTATCTGAAGAAAAATACAAGACAGTGTCTTCAGTGCAGAACTTTTCTGCAGCTAACTGCAGTGGTCTTCCTTTGAACTAGGAGGAGGTCGTCTGGTACACAGGAGTTTCAATTCTCTTCTTGTCTGTTTGCTTCTGCACTGCCACCCCCCATTCCTGGAGACCATATTACGCCTTGAGGAATAGCGGGAAAGATTTGTGCCAGAAGTGTTTGTGAAAACAATGTTGTTAGTGTCATGTTGGTATTAATCAATTGGATAGAGGAGTTAAAGTTTATACATCTTTCAATGACATTTTTCTCTGAAACATCAATTTAAATAAGGAACGGTTTTAAGTGTCCCTACCAAAAGGATGTTTTTCATTCCTGCCTTCTGCAATTTTCTTTTTTTTTTTCCTTTTTTAAAACAAAACTTTTCTTCCCTCTGAGTCCCTTTGGTTGGTTGATGAGTTTAGAGCAGGGTGTTGCCTCCTTTTCTCCTTAAGCCTGAGTGTAAGGGGAAGGGACGTGTCAAGACAGACACTTGAAATGAAATAGAGTATTTTCTCTTTGGACTAAAGCTGGATGAAACCATGTCAGAAGTCCCGTGACATTCACATAATATGCCAATAACTCTTACTTTGCCATCAACATAGGATTGTAACACTCATGTTTAAAAACCAAGGAATTTGTGAAGGAGAGTAGTTTCCATGGTACCTAGGAACAGTATTTTCATTGAACCTGGTTGTGGGAGCTGCTGTCTGGTTTCTGTAAACGCGCGTCTCGAGGGTGGGCTCCTGTCAGGTTCCCCCATGCCTTGAGCTCGGGCCACAGCCTGCACCCACTCGTACGCTGGTGGCTTCTGGAGTCACAAAGGGTTGAGGAGGTCGATGTCTGGAGACTTCAGTCCTGTGTAAGATTGAGTGATTGGAAATTCCTGTGTTGAAAGTTACAGGAAATGGAGTAGGTCAGAGTGATGCAGTGCAGTGGTGTAACTCTAGTGTCTATGGCAAAAAAAAAAATTAAGAAGTTAATTCAATCTTTTTTTGACATATCTTGAATCTTTGAGGAGACTTGGGGGTGTTAGCAGCTGATCTGAGAAAGGGAAGAGTGGAGGAGAGTTTGCCAACGTTGGTCACAACAGTTACAGAATTTCAGCCTGCTGTAGTCTGGCCCTCTGTGAACACGGAGGATGTGCACGAGGTTATAAACGTTAGAGCTGATACAAGCTTAGAGTAACATTGCTGCCTAGAAGGTAAAATCCCTCAGTTTCACGATTGTTTATATCTGGTTTGGGCCTACCCAGAGTGGCAGTTGCCATCTATCTGAGCAGAATTTTGAAAGCACCTAAATGCTGAAGGTTGGGGGTTTTGGGGGGTTTTTTTTGAAAGCGCTGGGATGATTGATTGGTAATGGGAGGCTTCTGGGGACAGTGTTCCCGCTGCAGTATGCGAGCTGTGTTTGTGAGAGCGTTTGAACTTTTCTTTGCTCCCTTTAAATAAAACTCACAGCCTGTGGTTATGCAGTGGATTAATAGTAACAGCTGTGGGCTAACAGAGGATTAAAACTGACTTAGCATATGAGAATATCAGTGATAAAATGCATCTGGTATGAAGTGTCCAAAGACTTACAGGATTGTATGTAAATAGTAAATATGTTTCTATGGTGCTTATCCTCTATTCTGCTTGTTTTCAGAATTTTTGTTTCTGGGTGCTGTGAGGTTAATGATATTTTCAGAGAGGCGGTTATGCGAAGAAGTTGTGTGGGATCTACACAGCCTTAAAACATTTGTACAGTGTGTTTTCTTGCCAAGGTTTTATAACGGTAGAGAGTTTCATGCTTTGCAGAGTGAAAAGCAACAAGCTAGTTACACTCTGTGCTAGTGCAGCTCTGTTTCATCACGGATTAATTTGTCTCACCTTTTTTCCTGCAGGGATTTGGTAGGGTAGGGAAGGGATTATGAAAGGAAATACAGTAATGTAGTTCAAACTACATTGGACGTTCAAAAAATTTTTCAAACATTTACTCCAGTCTGTAGTGTTTAGTTCAGGCCATTGAAATCCTGCCTGTGAAGGAAGACACTGCTAAGATACAATCAGGCACAAACAGAAAATCACGTAGTGCCTTCAAGGGATAAATGACAAATGGATAAATAATTTTAAAACACATGGGGCAAAGATATTTTAATAGATCTGTCTAGTAAGTAGTAAGGTGATAAAAAGTGACAAATTACTTCTGTTCATAGGTTAAGACGACTCATACTAAATGATTACAACTCATACTAAATGATTTTGGTATTTGTGATCAAGCATGCACAGAAGTCATCAAGGCTTTATATTTTCTCATATGATTATATGAGCTCCTGGGCTCACGTAAGGTCTGTTACAAGTTAAGAGCATAGTCTTTTACCTAATTTTCAAATCTGCTTCTTCCAAAATAAGTTTGAAGCTTTTCATTTGTAGTGCCATCCTACAGAGGCCAACCAGAACTATACAAAGTCTTTCAGTGTTACATATGCCTCTTATATTTGTACAAGCTTGTTCCATATAGAGAGTGGAATGGAAGAGGGAAGCCTCAAAGTTGCCTCAAAATCACCTCAAAATCATCAGAATGTTTTAAGACTTGCTATGGAGTCACATAAATACATTAAGTTGCTCCATTTTTATGAACTGCATTGAATGAATTGTTCTAAGGTACTACCAAATTGCAACTTGTTTATACTGTTTTTCCATTCACTGCTATTCTTTATAGATTTAAAAATAGGGAAACATAAAAAAGATGTTCTGTAGGCATGCATCATGTATGTCTTCTGCAACATGTATAGCTTAAAAGTTTAACGTCACTATTTTTGAAATATTGAATTCCTCTTGTAAACCAAATAATTGTGATACAGTTGGCTGATGACTAGCTAGGAAAATGTACGTGACTAAAATATTCCCTTTAATTGAGTTTTTGCATCTTATTTTTCCCCTTAAAATTTGGCATCTTCTCAGCTAATACATCTTCTGTGTAAGTTTATGGATTGTATAATACATATTTTGTATACCGATGACAACAATTCTAAGATGCTCTTCCTAAACACAACCCTCCCCAAATTTTAAAAAAGCAAAACAACTTTGATAATTTTCTGTACTTCTGGAGGATTTGCTTTTCTACTGTGTGCACAGGCAGGTCTTCTCCCTTGAAGTTCACCTGTATTTGCTGTTTATCTCCTGTTAAAATTGGGTTTAGTCATCTTGGTTCGGCATCGTCGTTTCCAGAAAAGCCAATCATACTGCATGCTTAGAGGTGAAGCTTTGAGAAACAATTTCATGCTTCCATACAAATCTGTCTTAGTATAAAAAAGAAGGAAAAAGGGAAATTAAAGGAGTGCACAAAATAGGTTTTAAGTTTATTGAGAAGGTTGCTATGTGTGTTTCTGATGGGTGCTGACAACTCCGTTCTGGAGTCGGTTACTGAGGTGTGCCCATGCTCCGCAGAGAGTACAGCATACCTCACAGGGCTCTAACATGGGCTGGGGCTGAGATCTGGCTTGTATTTGCCCTGCAGTCATGCTAGTTCAAATGCAGGCATGATTTAAACAGTGATATAATTTGTGATATAATTAAATCATGATATAATAGTGATACTGTTTCTGCTGTACACTGGCCAAGCGATTGGTGTAAAAGGTTAATTCTGGTTTAGTATGCAGTCCGGTATTTTATCCTAGGGGTAAGGAACATCTTATGTAAAGCAGTTGACTGAGAAAATCTTAAGCAAAGCAGAAAGACAGACCTTGCAGGAAAGCCATGCTGACTATCTTATGTAATGACTTTTTCTTCTTAAGTTCTTTCTCCTCCCCTTGATTTAGAAATCCATTTAACCTGTGTCAAAAGTAAGCTCTGGCAAAGAGAGAGGGGCCAAGCAGAAGTACAAGTAAAATGAAGGTGCAGGTTTTGTTTGTTTTCATTATACTTTCTGTATACTTTTTCCTGCTTACACTTCTGGCCCTAGGAGCAAATGACAGCAGAAGCATCGCTTAACCCCCACAAAACTGATAGAGTTTTCAAATCGTATTTTACAAAACTTGCTTATTATTGCCAATTGAGCACAGACCCTTTGGGGTATGCTTAAGTGAAAGTTAAATGGCAACTGTAGTTCAATAGCTCATATCCTGATGAGATTCCAGTTCTAGTGGTAAACTACACCAGTTGCAGTCTGGCTGTGGTGGGCAAAAGCCTACAGCTAATGTCGAATAGCATTGTTACAGTATTCTTCAGTATAAGCCTTAAGATCTATGTTTTTTTTAATCTGTTTCATTCCTTTTCAAATAAAATCTTTGTATTACAGGCAAAAGCAGCAAATTAACAATTTACATCAGAAGATAAGGGAGAATGAATTACGAGCTCAACACGCAAGACTGAGCCATCTTGTGAACTGCGAAGAACCTTACATGACTAATTTGCAGGTAGGATGGATATTTTTCTTTCAGCAAAGCTTTCCATTGCCCAGTAACTGACACCTGAAAGCACGTTCACAATTTACTGCAGGCCAAAATGTGGAGCTTTTGTGATTATTGATGGTTGTGTAATTGTATAGCCATAAATTGTATAGGGGAGAATACCCTCTCAGTGTTGTAGCTTACCTTACATTTGCAGAAATCTAAGTTAAATTAATATTTTGTACGTATTTGTTTTGAAATCTGATAAAAATGGGGTAAGAAAGAGGGATTGTGACACTGTAAGAATAAGGGTTTAACAGTGTGCATGTAGCACAGTTATACAGGCAGATATTAGGGGATAAAGTAGTTTGATAAAAGAGTACCTGAAAACAACTGACGGAAGGAGGTACTACCCAAAGGACTGGTTAGATTGTATCGATGGAATGGATGGAAGAGATGTGAGAAGGCAAACAGACTGGTGGTGAAGGGTCTGGAGCACACGTCTTATGAGGAGCGGCTGAGACAACTGGGGTTGTTTAGCCTGGAGAAGAGGAGGCTGAGGGGAGACCTTATCGCTCTTGACAACTACCTGAAAGGAGGTTGTAGTGAGGTGGGTGTTGGTCTCTTCTCCCAAGTAGATAACGATAGGACAAGAGGAAATGGGCTCAAGCTGTGCCAGGGGAGGTTTAGATTGGATATTAGGAAAAATTTCTTTACGGAAAGGGTGGTCAAGCATTGGAACAGGCTGCCCAGAGTGGTGGTGGAGTCACCATCCCTGGAAGAGTTCAAAAAAAGGGTAGACGTGGCACTTTGGGACATGGTTGAGTGGGCATGGTGGTGTTGGGTTGATGATTGGAATGATGATCTTAGAGATCCTTTCCAATCTTAATGATTCCTAGTTTTTACTTCATTATAAATGATCCAGCCACCAAGCCAGGAGGTGTGGGGTTGCTACTCTCCCCTTAATTGGTTTAGTGATGGACTTGGTAATGTTAGGTTAATGGTTGGACTGGATAATCTTAAAGGTCTTTTCCAACCTAAACAATTCCGTGATCCTGTGGTGGAATACCCTTGCACAAGACACCTGAAGAGGATATGGAACTCCCAGGGAACACTTAGTCTAAAAGGGAATGTGTGGTGGTATTTTGGGCATGCTTGTTCTAATTTTCATCTAACTAGCACAAATATCAGAAAGTGTAAGGATGAAGTACCATAGACTAACCATGAAATGGAGATCAGTTTGAGGACTGTGGCTGCTGCCCTGTTGTAGGGGACAAATTCCAACTCCAGACCTCAGCGTATCTAAAAAGGCAATGCAGAAAGAGAACATTAAAGGCAGATATGCAGAGAAACAGCTTTTCTGTCCCCCTTTTATTACCTTGTCTTTTTCTGTCACAAACACTGCACCAGGATCTCAGCTAGTGTACTTCAGCATGACATTAATTATGTCCTTGGAATAACACAGCTGTGCATCAGGTGAGAATCTGGTCTGTGGGAGACAGGAGAGAAATTCAAGTGGAGCCTTGGTGTGAAGTTAGGTATTCCGAAACTTTTTCAGACATCTAGGAATGTGGCTTTTGGTGTTTCCAGAAGTTCTTTTATAAAATGCTTTAAAATACTGTCTAGATCAAGATTTTTGGGGGGGAAAAAAAAAAAATTACCGCAGAAACTGAAATTTTAGCATACATATCTTAGTATGCCATAATGCACTTCAAATAAAGCAGCAGATGCATTCATCTTTCATAATTTAAAGAGTTAAAAAAGTTTATAGTGTAGTAGGATTTCTGCTTGATTTGTGTGCCTTCTGTAAGATTAACTTAGAAATGCAAATCTCCTTTAATGGAGGTTTTAATCTCTTTCAATGTTTTGCTGAAGGAGTGTTACTAGTTAAAAACACTATCTGTACAATTTCTTTAAAGATACCAATTTATGTTATTAGAAGAACCTTGAAACTGAAAGCCTAATGGGATGCATCTCCTTTTTCATCCCATGTGCAGTTGATTTCCATTTTGTGCTTGTCAGTCTGTGGGCAGTGAAGGTAGAAGAGTAACATTGAACTGCATGAAAATGAAAGGGAGGAGGGTTTTGGTATACAGGACAGAAGGTAGGAGGCTGTAGTCTCAGGCTCGTCCCTGTGCCATTCTTCACCTCAGGTGTGATAGCTCTAAGGTTTGACTAGTACTAATGTTCTGCTTTAGAAAGATCTTGAGATTGGAGTATCTCTTGCTTTAATATGTTCATAGTCATTTTATAGAGTGTTTTTCTTCCTGGGGAGTGGTAAAATAATGCAGTGGTGGTGATTTGTTTTGAAAACACTTTTTGTTTGGATTTTCAGGGATTTCTTTTGGAAGAAAAGTGACACCTCTTCCATAAATCTGAGGGGGAAATGGCCCCACAATGTTTATGTGCATGCGTTGTGAATGTAAAGGTGTCCAGCTTCTTTATTTTTTTGCTCCAGATTCCTGAAATACACGCTGTTACCACATATTTTAATGTTTGAAAAATCAAACCCCACCCTTCCTGACAGTAGAAAAAAAAATGCGGGACTGTTTTCTGCTGTGCTGCTCAAGTATACAGTGGTATGTGTGCATTCATTTGTATGATTATTTTATTTCTTTTTGTAAGCAACCACAGTACGAGAGCACACCGCTGCAACCTCACGTTTCAGAAAGATCAACATCCCACCTTGAGGAGCTTGAGCGAAAGATTGCAGCAGCTGAGAATAAGGAATTACAACTCAGTGAATTTGTAAAACAAATTTCAAACAAATCTAGTGAGGAGAAAAAGAAGATGGAGGAGAAAGTAAGTGTGTTTCATGTTACAAATTTCCTTTTGACACTGTTATAGCAGCGTATGTTTTGTTCGCTAGAAAGCAACTTAGTTGTGGGTTGCTGAGCTGTTTTCAAAAGGTAGATAAACTATCTGTGATGGAAAAATTGATAGTGATTGTAGGTATTGGGAGTGGATAAGTCTGAACTTGTAGTGAATACATAATAAAAAGTGATACTAGATGAAATGTCAGTCATGGTGAAGGTTTTAACCAGGTGTCCGTTAAAATTGCTTTGAAGAAAGGCTGCTCAGCTCTAAGCTTGAAGTGTTTATTACAGTAAATAAAGTATAATTTAAAAACATAGAGTGTGAGAATTAAATCCCTATTTTTAGCATGGCTTGTAAATGTGGGCCTCGTGCTTTGAGATGCACTTACTAGCCTGTATGTGCCTACTCAGCAGGAGTGATTCTCTTGTAGCTTTGCTGGGATGTGCAGAGTAGATTTTAGTCTTGAGACAAGGAAGGGGCTTAGATGGCTGTGTTCTTGGAACTGTCTTGCCAAGGGGTTTCTTTGGAGGCTGAAACAATACCCAGGGGTAATTTTCAATGTCTTGCCAGCCTTCCTTTATTGCGAGCAGGAATAGGCCAGGAAGAAATAATTGACGTTTTAGGGATACATTGTCACTGTTACCTTCTCTTCTTTGATTACTGGACCTTACTACTGGGCTTAGATTTACATTAATGCAGGTTCAAGGGAGGAGCAGTATGATACAGTGAAGTGGCAGGTGGGAAGACAAAGAAGAAAGCATAATTCATCTCAAATGCTGCCTTACCGTTTCCTATGAACCCTGCAGTATGCTTTTCACTAAGGGTAACATTCAGGAAGGGCAGAAATTGGATGCTGCTGCTTCCTCCTGTCTCAGCTTTTACTGCTTGTGTTCCTCACTGTGTAGGAACTGCTGCTCTAGGTGGTGGCAGTGGTGAGGACCTGTGCAGCAGTGCTTGTGTCAGTGGGGTGGTCTGTAGCTAGAAGCCTGATTCACTGCACAGTCCTGATTCACGCTTTCACACCCATCCACTCTGTGGACTAAACAAAAGGCTGTCAAGGAGAGAAAGGGCAGGGAGGGAGAGCATGTTTCTGTAATAAAATTAGTACCCTTATGTTTGAGGGAGGACTGCGGAGGGAGGAAGGAGCTGTACTGTGTTCCCGCAGGGATGCGGCAGGCTGGGAACCCAAGCAGTAGGCTGGGTGCTGAGCCTGGGGACAGCTGTCTCTGGAGTTCCTCTGCTGTGCTTACAGGGAGATTAGCTCAGAGCCCAAAGGGTTGGTGTCCCGGGTCAGTGACAAAAATATGATTTCTGTACTGATCACAGGGATTGCTGCCAATAGCGTTATTGTTGCTAGGGTTATTTGTGAGCAAATGCCTGCCTCTTAGGAGAGGGTAAGTGTTTTCAGCCCAAAAGCCAGATTTGGCCAGGGAGTGGGGAAAATGCTGTTAATATTCAGGTGAGCTTTGCTTGTAGGCATATGCTAAAGGAACACACTGAAGTTTAGGTTAAGGTTGCTGGCATACATTTCTACTTCTCTGCCTGCCTCATTTTTGCAAATAACATTATCTTTCCCT